TGTTAATATTACTTGATGTTATATAAGAGTATCATGCTTTATGAAACCTTTTTGATTAGGTTTTCATTTAATATAAGACCATTTAAAATAATTAAGAACAGTTAAGATATATTTAAATTATAAAATTGGCTATCCTTTCAGATACTGAATACAGCACAAGAAATACCAATCTAGGGTAATTTTARTATAGAAAGAAGTACACCTTTATTTAAATTTCCCTTGTAGCAAATCTATATGGTACCCCTATATGTCATAGTACTTATTACTCTAAATACCTGCTGAAGTGCAGCTAGCTTCTAGATTGAATTTAGTTTTAGATATTGTATTCATTATAATATGCTACCACAAACAGTAGCAATAATTATAATATTTTTGTTTGAATATGTGTGAGAAGTTATTATTTCATGAAAGATGATTTCCATATTGTCTTTTCTGAACCTTTATGTGAAGAAACTAATTATATACAATTGCCAGGTGAAGTGTGGAATAATTGGTCTCTCTGAGATGTGGACATTTTTGTTTGTTTGTTTGTTTTTTGTTTTCAGGGATGAAATAAAATATATTATTTGTATTTAAAAAAAAAAAGAAAGAAGAGATCAAGTGAAGTGTTTTCAACTTTTGTCCTACCATACTTCATACAAAGAAGGGAAACCAATCCTTATTTCTAAGTAGAGGGCAAAGAAATTAAAAGAAAGCCCTTTGTTTGGAGGTATTGAAATTAAAGAGATTTAGCTGTAAAGGTCAAGTGTGTTGTGGGACAGGATGGTCTTAGAACTCAGATGGAAAAGTATAGGTTTAGAAAAGAACAATCCCTCTGAGGCGAGGAGATGACTGACAGAGAAATTATGAGGCTGAATGAAGAAATAGCACAAAGCTGGTAGTCCACAAATCTCTAGAAAAGATACAATACAAGAGAATTTTCCAAAATTAAGGGATATGGAAAAGCAGAACTGGAAATTTAAATCCAGAAGTAAATCTTCCAAAGAGTTATTATGATGAACACACTACTGAATCATCAAAGATGATAACAACAATTACCTGCGTAGGTATATGACCATGGGTACAGCTTAGTGGTAGATCATGTGCTTAGCATGTACTTAGCATGTGCAGGGCCCTAGGTTTCATTCTAAGTGCATGTGCACACACACACACACATACAAAATTAAAAAAAAAAAAAACAAGCATGTATTATTTTTTGGGGGAAGCAGGGTACCAGGGATTGAACTCAGGGGCACTTGACTACTGAGCCACATCCCCAGCCCTGTTTTGTCTCAGGGTCTCACAGAGTTGCTTAGCACCTCACTTTTGCTGAGGCTGGCTTTGAACTTGCAATCTTCCTGGCTCAGCCTCCAGAGCAGCTGGAATTACAGGCGTGCAATACCACACCGGGCCCAGCAAGAATTTTTGGTAGACACCATTCTGTACCTTCTACAGCCAAGAACAGAAGCAGGGATGCAGGTGAGGTAAGGATGTTTGCATTTTAAGAAGTGATATGAGGCAAAAGACTCTAAGGCTAGTAAAGACTTTAATGAAATGATCAGACCTGGAGTCTAGTCAAGATAGGGATTCAAGAACAATCAGAAAAAGAGGATAATGTACACTAAAGCTGGGCATGATGGTACATGCCTGTAATTCCAGACACTTGGGAGACTTAAGGGAAGAGGATAATAAGTTTTAGGCCAGCCTTAGCAACACAGCAAGGCACTCAACAACTCGGTATGACCCTGTCTTGAATAAAAAATTAAAGGGCTGGGGGTGTAGTTTAGTTGTAGAATGTCCCTGAGCTCAATTCCCAGTCTTGRGGAAAAAAAAGTTAAAAAAAGAATGTATATTGAAAAATGACACTCTGTACTCTGTTGCTGGATCAAACTATTTATCCACCCAACAAATATCTCATTATCTTTTTTTTTTTAAAGATGGACAGCATGCCTTTATTTATTCGTTTATTTTTATGTGGTGCTGAGGATCGAACCCAGCGCCTCACACGTGCTAGGCAAACACTCTGCCACTGAACTACAGCCTCAGGCCTCATTATCTATTTTGTGCCACACACTATTCTAGGAACTAAGAATGGATCAGTTAAAAAAAAAAAAATACATACTTGATGCCGTTCCAGACTCCCTCTCACTCACTCTGCTCTAGCTATCCTCATCCAAGCCTCTTCTGCCCCAGGATATTTGCATTGCAGTTCCCATTTTCTCTTCCAGATATCTGCATGCTTGTTGCCTTTGCCTTATTCAGATTTCTGTCCACATGTCAGTTTACCAAAAGGGTCTTTTCTGACCACTCTATCTGGAAGATAAACCTTTCCATATCTTCTATTACTATCTTCTTATCCTACTTTATGAACCCAGGTCTTTGCACATGCTAGCACTCTAACACTGAGTTCCATCCCCAACCCATTTTGTCAGTAGCACTATTTTTATATGTTTTTTTTTTTTTTTAAAGAGAGAGTGGGGGAGAGAGAGAGAGATTTTTCTTAATATTTATTTTTTAGTTCTCGGCGGACACAACATCTTTGTTTGTATGTGGTGCTGAGGATCGAACCCGGGCCGCACGCATGCCAGGCGAGCACGCTACCGCTTGAGCCACATCCCCAGCCCCTATTTTTATATGTTGATGGACCTTTATTTTATTCATTTATTTATATGCGGTGCTGAGAATCGAATCCAGGGCCTTACACATGCTAGGCAAGTGCTTTACCACTGAGCCACAACTCCAGCCCTTATTATTATTTTTTTGAAACAGGRTCTCTCTAAGTCACCCAGACTGGCCTTGAACTTGTGTTCTTTCTGCTCAACCTCCTGAGTGGCTTGGTTTACAGGTGTGTGCCACCATTCGCAGCACTTTTTTTCTTCCTAGTACTTATCACTATCTGACCTTAATATATTTGTTTATTGTTTGTCACTCAAGCTAGATCACTTCTTTTCCTTTAGTTAAAAAAAAAGAAGCAAGGGAGCTGGAGTTGTGGCTCAATAGTATAGCGCTTGCCTCTCGTTTGTGAGGGACTGGGTTCAATTCTCAGCACCACATATAAATAAGTGAATAAAATAAAGATCCATCAACAACTAAAAATATATTTAAAAAAACACAAGCTAAACAGGCAAAAGGAAGATAACGGTGGTTTTGAAAGTTTCAGATTAGAAAAGAAAGAAATGGTATGAAATAGTCACCTAGGAAAGTGGGAAACTGAATGAACTAAGGAATTTTAGCATAAGCATCACTAATAGCCTGTTTGATCACGAATTCACAGTGACACAAGTAAGCAGAGTTTCATTTATCTCAGGTTAGATTCTGTAGTTTAGATGTAGGTACACATTAGAATTTTCTAGGAAATATGATAGAATGGGGGCACAAATCAGTTAAGGGCGCAGAATATGATAATGATGGAGCACAGAATACCCTGGATCAGGAACTGAATGAGGATAAGGGAGGTGAAAAACAGTGACGATTTGGTGAAGTCACAAAATTGAAGGTCATAGTAAAATCGCAGAATGACTGGAGTTTGGGTAATAAGTTTAAACTGGAAAGATAGGTGCTGGTGACTGCTGGGTGAAATTCTTGAAATTGAGACAATAGGATACAGTTCTTATGAGTGATAAGGTTTCTACATGACCAGAGCAGTGGACTCCTGGGAGTGACCAAGGGCGAGATTGATTATTCATGATGAAGAAGTAAGGAACTGAAGCAGGATGTGGTGGCACATGTCTGCAATTCCAGATACTTGGGAGGTTGAGAGAGAAGAAACAAAAGTTTAAGTCCATGTGTCTGAAAAAAATGAACAAAATAAAATAAAATAAAATACAAAGGACTGAATATGTAGCTCAGTGGTAGAGTACTTGCTTAGCATGTGCAGGCCTTGGGGTCAATCCCTAGTACCACCAAAAGAGAGTGGTAGGTGGTAAGGAACTGAGATGGATCTTAAAATATGAACCAACATTTATGAGCAGTGAAGAGATGAACCAAGGTATTTCTTAAGATTTAAATTTTTATAGAGAATATATGTACAGTTCAAGTGTTCCTATGTAATAGTCCCCTTATTATCTGTTTCCAGGTCCCAGTAGATGACTGAAACTGTGGATAGAACCCTGTATAAACTATACACTATGTTTTATTCTATATGTATATACCTACAAGTTTACTTAAAAATTAAGCAGAATATAAAAATAACAATAATATTAAAATGAACAATTTTTATAATATACCATACTAAAAATTATGTTGAGTGTGAAAATATCTTATTGTACTGTGTATCTTAGCAGCCTCAGCATATAATTTTTCTTTATTAAGATGAGAATTAGGGCTGGGGTCATGGCTCAGCAGTAGCGCACTTGCCTAGCATGCGTGAGGCACTGGGTTCGATTCTTAGCACCACATACAAATAAATAAAAAATAAAGGTCCATCAACAACTAAAAAAATATTAAAAAAAAAAAAAGATTAGAATTAGCAACTTCCATTTAAAGAAAGTACTATACTTTGGCATATCCAAATTGCCAGCATCACTGTTCTTGTACTTTAGCATTATTTCAACACAAGCATTATAATATTTATTTTTTTAGTTCTCGGCGGACACAACATCTTTGTTGGTATGTGGTGCTGAGAATCGAACCCGGGCCGCACGCATGCCAGGCGAGCGCGCTACTGCTTGAGCCACATCCCCAGCCCCAACACAAGCATTATAATAGCAATGTTGTGACAGTTCATCTGATAACCAAGGCAGCTAATAAGTGACTAACAGGTGGGTAGTATAAACTGGACAAACCCATGACTCATGTCCCACAAGGGACAAAGTAGGAGAGTGTAAGATTCTGCTATGCTACTCAGAATGGCACACAATTGAAAACTTATGGATTATTTATTTCTGGAATTTTCCATTTAATATTTTTACAGTTGACCTCAGACAACTAAATCTGAATATAAGGGGGAAATATTATTTTTTGGTTTTGTTCCTATTACCTGTTCTATGGTTTATCGTACTTCAAAAAAGTGCATGGTTAGGACTGGGGCTGTAGCTCAATGGCAGAGCACTTGCCTAATATGTGCGAGGCCCTGGGTTCGATCCTTAGCATCATATACAAATAAAATAAAGGCATTCTATCCATCTACAACTACAAAAAAATTTTTTTTAAAAAAAATGCATGGTTAAAGAATGTCTCTTTACTTATATAATATAGCTGCTTTCTATCAATATTACAGTGCTATATCCATCTGTTCTGAGATCATGCTAAATTAAATAYGTATCTATCAAACAGATGAATCCTCTATCATTGGCTCTTTAAATCTAACATTTAGGGGATGATAATATTTCCAAATGCTAGATTACTGAGTTCTGACTATATTTCAAATTTTTAGGAATAGGAGATATAATGATAAATAACAAAAAAAGAAGCTTCTAGTCTAGTTCACAATTCAAGGGCACTATCCCTGGTACTCTTTATTACTGTGTTCCATGAAAACCGGCTTTAAAGCTCATTAACATTTATTGAGTGCTTGTTCTGTGTATCTATAAAAAGGTGAGCAAAATAGACATAGTCACTACCCTCAAAGAGCTTATAATTTAATATTGAGAAGAATGAAAACCAGAAGATCTACATATGATCAAGTAAGAGAGAAATTATCTTTTTATTTATAGTCTCAAAGCATGACACAGTTTCTTGCCTCATTAATTTTCCTGTTATGAATGAGAAAACTTGGCTTTAGACTACATTCAATTTTTAAAAAATATTAAAGACAAAAGGAATCCATAAAAGAAAACAAAATTTATTTAAAATGCTTTAATGTAATAACTCAGGCTGGGTATGTAGCTCAGTGGTAGAGTGCTTGCCTAGCATATATGAGGCACCGGGTTTGATTCTCAACACCACATGTAAACAAATAAAGTAAAGATCCATTGACAACTAATAAAATATTAAAAAAAAAACTGTAATTAAAAAAATACTTATCCAACATGGAAAAATGAGAACAATATGGTGGGGCCAAAAGTGATTTCTATTTGCCTTAAAAATTACCATTTTTAGATGTTGTAATGTTGTTTTACAGTAAAGTTGGGGTTAAGAGATAACTTACCCTTCGGTCAGCTGCTACAAGTCTAAATTCCTGTAATAACTTGCCAAAAAAAGATCTTTGCGGTTTTCGAAAGAGATGAATTGTCCCCTTTAAAACAAAACAAACAAAAATAATATCAGCACTTAAGCATCTAATGTTCTTCCTAGTTCCTGTGATGTTATAGTACTAATAACAACAACTAACATTTATTGAGTACTCCACATGACAAAGCACTTATTCTAGACCCTTTACATGTATTTATCAATTTAATACTCAAAACAATCCTGTGTGGTAGAAACAATTTTTACATTTGGTAAGTTGTCCAAAGTCACAAAGCTAGTATCTTGGTAGGGTTTCAAATTTAGGCATTTTAGCTCTAGATCACTCTTAGAAAAGGAAAGGGGAAATGGAAATTTCCAAATAGCTCTACTAGAAAGAAAATATTACAATTAACCTAATCAAACCTAAACACATGAAAGTTCTGGCAGCTATTATAGTAAAACCCCTTAGGCATTCAGTCAAAAGCATTCGACACCCTAGCTAGTATCCATGATCTCTGCCAGTATACAGCATGAGGCTAGCACTGAAAAGGGCGGGCAGTAGGGTTACCAGAGAGACAGACCAAGTGACAATTTGAGGAGATTTTTGGCCCAAGTTTAGGAAAGCTTTTAAGGGAATGTTCAGGTGAGGCATGGTAGAGAACACCTGTAATCCCAGCAATTTAGGAGAACGAGGCAGAAGAACTTCAAGTTCTAGGCCAGTGTCAGCAACTTAGCAAAATACAGAGTGCAAAGGGCTGGTGGTATAGTTCAGTGGTTGAGTGCCCTGGTGCTTGATTTCCAATACCGAGGGTTCAAACACAGATGAGAAAATAACTTATGATAAAGGCAGTATCTAATAGCAGTGAGAGAAAATATGAGCTATTCAATAAATGTATTCCAATGAAGGAAATGTTGCATCCTTACTATTCTTTATTCAGATTTGTTATTTAAAAATTAAAATACAAAACTATGCCTGAAGAAAATATGGATTATAATTTCATCATCTTGGAGTTGGGGATGTGGTATAGGACAGAGGCAGAAACCTAATTTATGTCTCTGAGGAAGATCAAAAGGGGTATTTTAGTTGTGTGCTACAGTTAAATGAAGTTATAATATTTAATGGAAATAATGGGAATAATGCCAAAAGATCTGTGATCATTAACTATTCCATTAAAAATACTTAAACCTTTTTATACTGAAAATATGGCATGGCCCTGTCTAGCATAGGTTTCCATAAGCAAAACTCTACAGCTACTTTTAAGTCAAAGACCTTCATAATTTATAATAATTTTTTTTGTGTGTGGTGCTGGGATTGAATCCAAGGCTTTATTCATGTGAGGCCAGCACTTTACCAACTAAGCAATATCAACAGCCCAATTTATAATAATTTGATTGCTATGTGTCACAACTTAAGTATTTGTATTTAAAAAAAAAAATTCTTTCCTTGATGGTAAACGCCACACTCATTCTAACAACCATAGGACACTTCAACCTCACTAAGTTGGCCAGTTTCACTCAACTATTTAAGCTCCAGAAAACACTGGAACTGGGTTATTAACAGATTAAAACTGAAAAACTTTCAGATTCAATTCAAACACAGGAATGATTTTCTTACATAGTTAAGAAAACATCTCAGTAGTTATAAGAAGGCATGTCCTCTCATTGCTGGTAGGACTGCAAATTGGTGGGAATCAGTATGTAGATTCCACAAAAAATATGGAATGGAATCACCATTTGACCCAGTTATCCCACTCCTTGGTTTATACCCAAAGGACTTAAAATTAGCATACTACAGTGATGCTGCCATATCAATGTTTATAGCAGCTCAATTCACAACAGCTAAACTATGAAGGTGCCCTTCAACAGATGAATGGATAAAGAAAATGTGGTACATACACAATGGAATATTACTCTGCCTTAAATTATGGCATTTGTGGGTAAATGGATGGAGCTGGAAAATATCATGCTAAGCAAAATAAGCCAATCCCAAAAAACCAAAGGCCAAATGTTTTCTCTGATAAGCAGATGCTGATCCATAATGTGGGGAGAGGTAGGGAAGAATGATGGAACTTTGGATTGTGCAGAGGGCAGTGTGGGCGAGTGCAGGGATGGGAAAGACTTTGGAATGAGACTGACATTATTACCCTATATACATGTATGATTACACTATTGGTGCGACTCTGCACCATGTACAGCCATAAGTTGTGCTCCATTTGTGTACAATGTGTCAAAATGCATTCTACTGTCATGTATAACTAAGTAGATTTAAAAAAAAAAGGTGTGTCCCATTCTTCAAAGCTTAGACATGCATTAGTTACATTATGCTGAGACTTCCTGTCAGAGAATGGGCAAAGCATAAAAGTGTGGTATAAGAAAAATATCAATAGGATGTCAAAAATTGTTGATGCCAAGATATGGGTACATAGGRCTCATTAACAGTCTCTTTAGTTTTGTGTATGTTTGAAATCTGTCATAATTAAAAGCAGTAGAATACAATCTGAGAATTGAAATGTTGCACTTCATTTGTGTATGATGAATTGAAATGCATCCTACTGTCATGTACAACTAAGTAGAATAAAAATATTTAAAAATTTTTTTAAAAAGCAGTAGAATAATAAAGTAAAACATTTTGAAAAGTAAAAATAAACACTAGAAGTGTTACTAATTTTGTTATCCAAATAAAGACTAGTATTTAGCTGGGTGCAGTGGCACATTCACATAATCCCAGCAGTTTAGGAGGCTGAAGCAGGAGGATTGCAAGTTCAAGGCCAGCCTCAGTAACTTAATAAGACACTGTCTCAAAATTTTAAAAACAGGTGGGGGCAGTGGTGGTCGCTCAATGGTACAGTGCTTCCCTAGCATGCACAAGACCCTGTGTTCAATCCCCAGAACCACCAAAATTAAAAAAAAAAAAAAAGTGACTAGTGTTTCTGTAAATCAAAGGCCCTGCTAAGCTAATTCAGTTTGATAGGTACAATATGCTATTTTCATTTGAGATGTTAATAAATGTTAATGTTAACAAATACACTGTGCAAGAATTATGTGTGGAATATTTTGGTCCCAAGATAATAAATGTTGCTTAATATTGTTTTCCTTGAAAATCTTCTGTTTGACTTCAATCCATTTTGCTTATTACTTTAAGTTTCAGGTTAAGAAAATCAACAAGATTTTTAAAAGACAGATGTCTACTTTTGATACTATACTCAGTTTAAAAATGAAACAAAAATTCTAACAGTCATATCATTCTTTCCAAAATTATATTGGTTCTCCGTTGCTATGAGGATAAACTCCAAATTTCACAAACTGAAATCTTGACTTGTTTTCAATAACTTAGCCTGTTTCTTTCTAGTCTTATTTCTTATTCCAGTTAGAAATTCTCAACTCTAGCTAAACTGGCCTACTCTTGATCACTGCAAAGTGAAAAGGTGAGACTTGTGTAATCCAAACTCTACTAACCCTGTCACAGTTCACCTAATTCCTCACCTAAATGAGAGACATATTAGATTCAGAGTATATGAATAAGGGCTGGGTATGGTGGAGCATACATATAATCCCAGTGACTGGGGAGACTGAGGCAGGAGGATTACTTACAAGTTCAAGGACAGCCTGAAGAACTTAGGGAGACCCTGTCTCAAAATAAATAGTAACTGGGAAGTGGCTCTATGATTAAGTGCTCCTAGACTCAATCCTGGATACAAAAAAGAAAAAAAAGTATGTGAATAAGAAACAAATGTTTTACTTCTTCCATGAACTCTTCCTAGATCATTCCAAACTGTAGTGCTTTCTATGTACTTTTATTATTTTTATTGTTAGCCAAAGGGTCATTTTCATTTTGTTATTGTAAGTTAAAATTTTTAGTAACACCACTAAAGACAATGGCTATATTTTCTAACAAAGAATATGAATCCATGAATGACTCATAAAAGTGTTTTCCCTAAAACATTTAAGATAAACCTAGGGACTGGGGATGTAGTGTAGTGATAGAGCGCTTGCCTTATATATATGAGAGAGGCCCTGAGTTAAATCTCTAGCAACTCTCTCTCTCATACACATACACAGAAACCTTGAATGCCATTATTTTCCTGTATTATTAATAATAAAGTTTCAAGCATAAACATTTAGTGCTATAGTTTACTTAAAAACAGACATTTATTGAAAACTTCCTCTGGTCCGGACACTGTACACAGTTCTGGGAATATCAGAGTGACACATACGGTTCCTGCTCTCAATGAGCTCACAGTCTATGAGGTAAGAACAATCAAGTACACAGGTTTTTTTTTAAAAAATACTTTTTTAGATGTCGATGGATCTTTATTTTTTTTTAATATGTAGTGCTGAGAACTGAGCCCAATGCCTCATACATGCTAGACAAGCGCTCTACCACTGAGCCACAACCCCAGTCCATATATACAGTTTTAATATAGTCTGGTAAGGGATACAGATGCTATTGGTAAAAAGCATAAGGTATCCAAATTTAAATTTGTAAGTTAATCAAAGTGTACAATCTGAAAAACCTCTGAATTTTAAGTTTCTTTTTAATTCACCCTCCACTCCCTTCATCAGTGTTTCAGGGCATGTTAGGTTTTTAAGATATATATGCATTTTGTGAAGTTTTCTTTATGTAATAAAACTGCTTATTCATTTCAGAAAAAAAGCATAAGTTATAATTATAGGAGCACAAAGGAAAAACTGCTCTCAGGACACCAGGTCATAAAGGAAAGGTTCATGAAAAAATTAAGGATATTTAAAGGTTAGGTTAGTAAGGATAGAGAGCTGGGGATGTAGAACAATGCAGGAAATGGAGTACCACATATAAATTAGGCACAAAGTAGGCTTTTCATGTTTTTCACTGTGGCTGAAATGAGTGTGTGTGTGTGTGTGTGTGTGTGTGTGTGTGTGTATAAAAGGGTCTATAAAGGTAAAAAGGTAAGAAGCTTGACTATGGATGGTTTTGTAATAACCAAAATAATAACTCTGCCTTGAGGGCTACAGGAAAAAAATTTTTTTCCCTTCAGTACTAGGGATTGAACCCACGGCCTCATACATGCTAGTCAAGTGCTCTACCACCAAGCTACTGAGCTGCACCCCCAGTCCTGTTTATTTTGAGACAGGATCCTAGCTAAGCTGCTCTGACTGGCCTCAAACTTTTGATCTTCCTGGTTCAGCCTCCCCAGTAACTAGAATGGCAGGCATGTTCCACCATGCCCAGAAAAAAAAAAAAAAAAAAGGGAAAAATTTAAGCAAGGACATGACATGGTCAAATTTTAGAAATATAATTTCAGCTATCCAATAGTGAATGTTTTGAAGTAAAGCATAACTAGAAACTATTTGATCATTAGGAAAAAAGAAAGAGAAGTAAACTTTAACCCACTTTCCCTGTTCAAAGACTTAGAAAATTTACAGAAATTCGACCATATTCACTTAAGGAAGAACAGCTTAGGTTAAGAAATGTAATCCCTTTATCATACATAGGCTACCCATAAGTGTCAATAAATTTTTCTCAGTTTCAAGAAATACATACCACTTTGCCATCTGACATTACAAGATTAAATTGCAACACTTATATATTGATTTTTAAAGGCCTTAAGTGACTAATTCTTCTAATAAATTGTGATGAAACATCATATCTCAACAATTATAACGAATAGTGGGATCGTTCACTAATTTCTACAAAAACAGTAATAAAATGCTCTATTAACACCTCGGCTCTGTGTAATCACTGTTCCTTACGGAACATGCTGCCATACCAAGCTACCAGCCACTCAAGAAACCCAAGTTGCAGGCTCGGGTGTCTGTCATAAAACCCTCCTCCTAACTTTGTTTCCCCTGGCGTTACTGTCACTTCTCTAGGCATCACAAAATCGTCGTGGTTGCTGTGGACTTGTTTTCAGATCTTTTGCTGGTCATGTAGTCGCTGACGCCGGAAAAGGCTTTTATTTTTATAGAGAGGAAATTCTCCAGGAGCTGAAAGCTTGGCCTGGAGCGGAACTCGGATCCCGAGAAGCAAAGGAACGGGGTGAAGAACAGAAAGGGACCAGGGATGTGGGGGGAACCATTTGGGCGACAGCCGCTTCTCCTCGGGGGCCCGACAGCAACTCCGAAGACCCCTCCTCTGAGAGGCTGAGGCATTTCAAGTCAGCTTCGGACGAGAGAAGACAACAGGAATCACCTATGACAGAAACCCTCATTACCCCGAGACCAACTCACCATGATAAGGAGCTGCACAGCTCCCGCCGGAAGACGCTGTGGGGGCTCAATTTGCCCAGTGCGGAAGGGGAGGGGCACCAGAGGCCTATTGGCTGCGAAAGACGCGGGGGCGGAAGTACGTGCCCAGGCCTCGGGGTCCCGCCCCTTCCCGGTTGCTGARCATCTAATGGAGGTGAAGGCGGCGGCTAGACCGTTCCTTGCGCTGTCTTCCCTGTCTTGCCAATGACTTGAGCTGTTGAGGCCAGTGACAAGGAGCAGTTAAAGTTTATTTTAACACGGGGAAAATGTCGCTGACTGCTGAAGCACTTATATCTATGTTGTGTGATTAAACTTTTACGAAATGAATAGTATTCCCGTTCTACAAGTGAATACAAAGAGGAAGATTGAGAAACTTGACTAGGTTGCTGTGGTAGCAGAAGTTAAACTTGGAATGCCTAATAGCAAGTACTGTGTGGTGGACTCTCTAAAATATTATTTAAAACCATTATAAAGTTAACTTTGTTATGCAGATAACATTAATTATAGAAAACTTGAAAAATACATTAATATTGGATGAAGACTGAATATGGAGCACCTGTGTGAGGTACTGGTTTCTTGAAAATTATATGGTAATAAGAGACAAAATCAGCGGGAGAGCGATAAGTTTAAAAACAAGATATTCTTAACTAGCGTCAGGTAGGAAATAGGACAGTGCCATTACAGATTAACTGGATGGTTAATTTACAGTAGTGGTCATCAAAAGCTCTATGGAGATGAAATTTAACTTCTGATTGGGTAAAATCTTTGAAGTTTTTTCCAGACATTATAAACAAGTAGGGCAAACATCCTGAGACGAAAGAGACTGTATTTTAAGATCTGAAAGTACCTACTAGCCCACACAAAGATAAAAATTTATAGTATGTTTTTTACTGAATGTGCTTTTATAGCATTGCAGTCTAAAAATCATTAAAACATTTTAAGTTAGGGACCATTTTTATAAGGGAATATTCCATGCTAAACAGACATATAAACCCAATGAAACTTCAGTATAAGCAAGCCATAAGACCTAATGATTGATTGCAAGTTCCCATTAGATTGAAAAATCAGTTATTGACTCTCCTCTATTTTCATATACCTTATTCCAGAATGCTCCTACCCACCGATTACCTTCCTTTTTATCTCTTGACACCCATATTAAGTTGTCCATTGTAGATAACCTTCTCACTCCATTTGAGCCACCTCTCTCCTCACTGAACTTTGATCTAAAACAGTGTGCCACCAAGAGTTAAAAATTAGGCCTGAGGGCTGGGGTTGTGCTCAGTGTCTAGCTTGCTTGAGGCCATGGGTTCGATCTTCAGCACACATAAAAATAAATAAAATAAACGTGTTATTAAAAAAAAAAAAATCAGGAGGCTGGGGATGTGGCTCAAGCGGTAGCGCGCTCGCCTGGCATGCATGCGGCCCGGGTTCGATCCTCAGCACCACATACAAAGATGTTGTGTCCGCCGAAAACTAAAAAGTAAATATTAAAAAATTCTCTCTCTCTCACTCTCCCCTTAAAAAAAAAAAATAGGCCTGAGACTATTATCTTTATAAAATCGTGYTTGCAAGATTGACTCCTGGCTGGCATCTGGAAAACTGGATTTGGAGGGTTCTCCTTATTCTCTTAACAGAATGGCTCACTATGTCCAACAGTCAGGCTTACAATTGCACACAAATTGTTACCTGCTGCTGAAGAAATTAAGTGTATTTTGACTCCACTGGGTGAGGAGTCATGGAAACTGGTGCTTGGCTTTGTGCTTTCTACCTTTTGCTAAATTTGCTTTATATCCTTTTGCTGTAACATCTGTTATGAATATAATTATATGCTGAGTCCCTTCAGTGCTCCTAATGGATTATCAAATCTCTGATAGTCTTTTGAGAGTCCAACCACCAAGGGACTTTAAAACAGTAGTTCAGGAAGCAAGTCAGTAAGGCAATTCTTTTTAATTTGTTAGTGTTGTTGTATTTCATTTCCACTGTGTCTCATTGTATTCATCTCATTTGCTTGTTATTTTTCCCCTTTCTTGATTCAATTTGAATCATAATTCTTAGCAGGCTATCTCATTTTTTCTAATGGCTTTTAGATATACTGCACTGTTTTTTCAGTGAAAGATTATAGTATGCACCATCAATTTACCACAATCTACCTTATGTTAATACTAGACCACTTTGCGTACAAATAACTCTTAAAAATCTAATTCCATTTATTATTCTCTTCAGTTGCTTTTGTTCTGTATTTTACTTCTACAAGTATAACAATACTATAATTTCTTTTGTTTTAAATAGGCAGTACTTAGAAAAATTCAGCAAAAAGTAATTTGTCAACATATTTATAATTTCCAAAGTTTTTAGTTCCTTTCTGGAGATACAAGTTCTCATTAAGGATAATTTTCTTTCAGTCTAAAAATTTCCTTAAGTATTTTCTACATCAGTATACCTGTGAGAAATTGTTTTGCTTTGGTTTATCTGGAAAAGGGTTTACTTTTAACATTTTGAACAATATAACTACAGAATTTTAACTTCTGCTTAATTTTGTAACTTATCGACGTCATTTCATTATCTTCTGAATCTCAACATTTCTCATGAGGTTATGCAATGTTATTCCACCATCATACCTATTCTTGTGTTGCTTGAATCTATTGAAATCTTTCGACAATTTTGGGGAAATTTCACTTATTGCTTCAAATATTTATTGCTTGATAATCTTTTCCTCTCTGTGCCTAATTATGGATACTTTAGTACTGTCCCACAGGTCTCAAACCTCCATTTTTTTCTTTCTCAGTGCTTTGCTAAGTTTATTGGCTTGTCTTTCAGTTCAGTCTTTCCTCTCTGTCCAATTTAGTTATGGCCATCTAATGAAACTTTTTCAGATAACGTACTTTTCTGATCACAAAAAAGCACACTTTTTGTTAACAGACTTCCCACTGGGTTAATTTCTATTTTTCTGCTGAAAATCCCAATCTGTTCATCATTTTCTCTTTTCCTATAAATTCTTTGAAATGTATTTTAAAATCATTCTGTAATAGGATGCTATTATAGGGGTCTACTCGAACAGTTTCTTTTTTTGAGATGAAGTTCTGTGTTGCCTAGGCTGGCCTTGGACTTGTGTACAAGTGATTCTCTCCTGCCTCAGCCACCTGAGCAGGTGGGACTACAGGCATGCATCACTGACATCCAGCTTATATATTTTAATATACTGATTATGGGTCATATAACTTTTCTTTGCATGCTCAATAACTGCAAAGTAATTGCAAAGAGTGCAAAGATAACAAGACAAGGATTAAAAAATGCCATTTTCTTCTGGCTTTAATCTACTAATGGATAACCCTGATGCTGTTGAAGTAAGGTTTGTTATAATGAATTTCTATCTATTTTGCCCTTAGTTGTAAAGGACAGCCACTAGTATATTGTCATTATTCCTATAGCCCAACTCCTTTTGATTTAAAATGATAAACACAAAGTGTTTTACTCAACCCCCTATTAGAACTTGAATTTCAAAACTATCCTCAAGCATTTGATATCTCCTGCTGTGTTCTTCAGACTATTGCTTTGTGCTGGCTTCCTTTGAATATCTCCCTACACAGGTACAATTTTGGAATTCAATAAGAATTTGAAAGGAATGTACAGGCAGATTTGGGGGCTTGCTTCTCTAAGGCCTTTCCAATACATCCCCTCTAATTTCAAGCTGTTCTAGAAGTACCACATGAGTACTCAGCACAGCAAGACTGACACATTTGGCTTGAATTCTATTCCCAGATAAATTGCACTGTAGGTAAAAGCTGTTTAATGTAAATTTCTCCAAATGTAGGATTTTGTAGAGTTTCTCTCTGATTTTCATTGCTGTATTGGGGCATTCTACTCATTGCTTTTTATATTTGATCAGAGTTTATAAATGTTATTGTCAAAAGAGTCATAAAATGCCCCCACTATGGGGCTGCAAACTCTGAAATCTCAAAAACATTTTAAATAAAATAAAGGCAAAATAAAGTTTATCATTTATTTACAATCCATTAGGATAAATACCCATTTTATGCAGCTATACCCTTTAATTCATTTTTTTTCTGAAATAAGTACAAAAGACCAGACTAAAATTGAGACAAGCATTTAAAGGAAAATCCTTTGACTCAAGAGTCCAAAATAACTGTAAATGGTTCATTTTACCAAAAGAATTAGTTTTTGTACAAAATATAAAGAACTTTACACTATAAACAAAGACTGCTGTATATGTATTTAAATAAGAATTCTACTTGCTTTTTCTCCAATTCTTCGCAAGCACAAAGCATACATATGCAAGCCAGAAACCTAATAACCTCAATGGGCATACTGTTTTCAGAATAAGCTTTCACTCCCAATACATTTTGGAAATATAGTACTGATTTTTTTCTTTAGGCTCAAAGTTCAGAACGACAATAAGTTTCAATTTAGTTCACAAAACTCTGCCATATTAACATGAAGAGCACACCAATGCTTCATATTCAAGCACTGAATATAACAGTTTTAAAAAATAATATAACAGAGCTCAACATGAAATATAAAAGGTTACAATCTATGGCTAATATTAATTCAGAAAACATCCACAGCTTCTATTTTTATTGAAAATGACCAAACCAATCCCTTACCTCCTACTATGTAATTATTCTGCTTTCATGGCCCTTCTATAAAAGAAACACAACTTAAAACTTGGTTGTAGTACATCACAGAAAATATTTCTTTAGTACTAGCATTATTCACACTTAATCAGCAAAGGAATTTTTGTAGGTAGATATTTAGACAATAATATAATTGACTCAATTTTATGATATTAACTTGACTTTTATGAAATCTTTGCTATCTAAAAACTTTCCCAATAGAATTATAAATCATAATTTTAAGGGAAATCATATTTTAAAATTTGGGCTGGAACCACAGTCCTTTAATATGATTGCTAAGTTATCTAAATATTGATGTTAATCCCTTTCTAAATAAAAAAGAATTTTGTGAGCTTCATTGAAAAGGTTTTGAGATTTTCCAATTCTTCTCATATATATGTTTATTACTTCTTTTCATTATCAGTATTTTATATTGGTGCTTTAACATTTGATACCTTAAAAAGATACACTCTACCCATGACCTAAAAGAGCACAGGTTTGGCTTAATTTTTTTTTCTTTTGGTATTTATCTCAACTCTCATTTTATTAGCCAGGGAGTTCTAAAGTCATGATTGAGAGAGATGATTTAAGTTATGAGTACAAACAGCATTTGATCCTAAGAAATCATACACCTTCTATCCAAGAATACAAATAAGAAGAATGTATTATCTTCATTGTAAAATTCTTGTCCAGTAGGGGCAGTTGTTGTATTTTAATGTATTCTTTCAAAACGTTTTCCCTAAGTGAAAAGTCTTTGTTACTACTACAAAATTATTCTTTTTCACTACGACATTTTACATTTAAGCACCAAAGAAAAATTCTGTAAACAAACTTTTAACCAGTAAACCTAGGGCAAACATCCATTTGCCTTTATTATAATATTTAAAAGGCCATGATATGAATCTCTACTTCCTACAATGACATTTTTATAATAAAACTCCAGGCATATTTATACAAACAAGAAACAGAATTACTGTACATTTTGGGGAAACAAAAAGTTAACCAACAGACTAAAACTTTTTAATAAAGTAAGCACAAGAAACCTATAAAATGTATGCAGTGTATAAAAATTCAGTATTGTAAGTTCATTGAAGGGATTCATAATTATTAAGATAAAAGATGGTAGTTCTATAGGCTTATAATTATTCTGTAAATAGTAAGAAAGTAATAAGCAATAAATTAGAAACATCTTAGCTCCCAGTATTTCCCTTCTGTCCCACTGGAGCCACTTTTATAGCAGTTAAAATTGGCTCTCTTAAATATCAGAATAATTCTATCAGAAAATAAATTCCATCTGGAATAAGGTAACAGTCTACAGTAAATTTTTGACATTTTAGGAAAAAAAAACCTGTAGGATATATGAAGACTAATCTACATGTTACATGACAGAGTAACCCAAACCTCTGTTTTACCAGATTTACTTTGTTTCGATATTGCTTTCTAAATTGTTTGGCAGTAAGGTAATAGAAAAATAAAAAGTAAAATGAATAAAACAACTGTTTAATGTTTGTAGATTTATGAAGGAAAAAAGCCTCAAACTAGCTTTTCCCTATTGCTATTAGGGAAAGTTTCATTTGGCACACTGGATTTGTAAAAAAAGAGAACAATGAGGAAAAACAAGAAAAGAAACTAAGAATGCTTGATCTTCCAGTCACTGGTAGTTAAGACATTAGGAAAGAATAATAGGAAAAATTACTATTTTAAGAAAAAAACATAAGACAAATAACCAAAGGCTCTGTGTCTTCTACTGTTCACTGTCTCTAGAATACTTTCATCTGCAACACAATATACAAATTATTATTTACATTACAACTACATTGGTAAAGAAGACCAGAATCAGCTTTTCTTGTGCTCTACCTTACAGTGCCCATTGAAATAACCATGAACATCAAGGCAAGAAGGCCTTAAACAACAAAATATTCCATTTATGTTGTGTACTTTATTTGTTGTCACATTCATCTTCAAGTTTGGTGCACAAATAATTTTAAGACTTTGAAAAGTTTGTAAACTTAGGTTGAGTTTCTGTAACTGATAATTGTTCACTGAAGATCATGTGTTTCTTTCTTGCTAAGTAAAATGTTCTGCAGGCTTACAAATTCATTTCTTTAAACAGTGGTATCTCCAAAGTCCTTGTTCCACCGTATGTACGCTTCTAAGGTTTGAGGACTCACACTGCGTTTTATCTTTTTCAAGGATTCCGTGAAGTCAGACAATCGAATATTTCTCATCTAGATTTTTAAAAAGCATATGACAYACAGTAGTTAACACAATTATGGGTTAAAATAATGGCACTGCTGTTAATTAACATTATAATTATGGAGACATGTATTCCTAGAAAATCATGCCAATCAATTTAACATATTTTCTTTACTATATATAAGCAAGTTTGACATATAACATACCTGACAAAAATGCTATACTAAATATACTTTTTCCCCCCTTTTACAGTACTGGGAATGGAACCTAAGTAATTTTGCCAATGAGCGACATCCCCAGCTCTTTTTATTCTTTACTTTGAGGTCTTGCTAAGTTGCCCAGGCTAGTCTTGAACTTGTGATCCTCCTGCCTCAGGCTCCCAAGCCGCTGGAATCACGGGAGAGTATGACCATGCTTGACTACTAATATCTTTTATTACTTGTGTTTAACTTCATAGGTATTAACATTTTGCAGCATAATGTTTTCTCATTATAACACACACTCATTATAGAAAATTTGACACAGGCTGGGGATATAGCTCAATTATAGAGTGGTCACCTACCACGTGCAAGGCCCTAGGATAGATCCCCAATACTGTAAAGTAAAGAAAAATAGAAGACTTGACAAAATACATACAAGCAGAAAAAGGAATCACAATTCCACCACTTAGATTTTCAGTTTTTTTCTATGTTGTTTCATGGAATTATGTATTGTTAAGTCTTACCACCATTACACGCCAGCTAAATTTATGCTCAGGGGGAATGGGGTGTTACAAGAAACAAATGCAAATTTAAATATTGTTCTTTAACTGTAACATATAGGATGCTTGTATATGCAATTTTCTAAAATTAGTATTACTTTAATTTGGTCTTATTTTCCAATTTTTACATTGCCTTTGGAAACACAGATGCTGAGTTAATGAATATATGTATCTAAGTTTTTTTTTGGAGATGGAGGTCTTGCTATTTTGTCCATGTTGGCTTGAAATCCTGGGCTCAAGCAGTCCTCCTGCCTCAGTCTCCTGAATAGCTGGGCTAACAGGCACAGCCACTGCACTTGGGTTAACCTAAGTATTTTTATTTATTTTGGTGCTGAGGATTGAACCCAAGGCCTCAGATATGTTAAGCACATATTCTGTCACTAAGCTATTCCCCCCCTGCCCTATCCAAGTATTGCTAAAAGGCAAAAGAGAGTATGGCACAAAATAATCTGTGTTAAAACCTGTGTATTTGAACAAAAAATAAGTTAAACAAATTTAGATAAAACTTTAACAACTTTTATCTATATTCTTTTCAAAATCCCCCTTATTGAGGCCAGGAGTATAGCTCACTGATAGAGAGCTTGCTATCATGCATGAGGCCGTAGGTTTGATCCTTGGCATTAAGGAGGAGGAACATGAGGAGAAGAAATCAAATACCACTACTAAGTATTTATATATTTTTAAACTATTTAATAGACCCTATGTAGTACTGTGTTCCAGACTATTTTAAGTGTTTTATGAAAGTTAAATCATCAGAAGGTTACTGTCAAATTATTAATACCAAAATCACTAGATTAAAAATAAATTTAACACATCTGGATGAAAGTATACAGCAGAACCACCAGGTACAATGGCATATGCCTATAATCTCAGCATTTTGTGAGGCTGAGGCAGRAGGATTGCATGTTCAAAGCCAGCTTCAGCAACAGTGAGGCACTAAGCAACTCAGTGAGACTCTGTCTCTAAATAAAATATAAAATAGGGCTGGGGATGTGACTCAGCGGTTGAATCCCCCTGAGTTCAATCCCTAGTAACCCCCACCAAAAGAAGAATAAAGTATATAGCAGAACCAAAGATTATAAGAATGTGACCTTGGGGCTGGAGTTGTAGCTCAGTGGTAGAGAACTTCCCTAGCACATGTGAGACCCTGGGTTCAATTGTCAGAACAGCATATAAACAAACAAATAAATAAAGGTCCATTGATAACTGAAAAACAATATTAAAAAAAAAAAAAGAATGTAACCTGGGTTTACATAGTTAATAAGGTGATCACAAAAAGTACCACTGATGTTACTTCTCATAATTCATTAATTTTTAGTTTTGCTATTTAATTTTTTGGTAAAATATAATTTTATGACATTTTGAAAATGGCAAATATGATTATCTTTTTAGATATGTTGTATAGTAATTCCGAAATAGATGCACTCTATTAGAATGAGAGGAACTCATGACATTTTAAAAAAATGTCTTGCTGGTATGGTGGCACACACCTGTAATCCCAGTGACTTGAGAGGCTGGGGCAGGAAAATTGCAAGTTCAAAGCCAGCCTCAGGAACTTAGTAAGGCCCTAGGTAAATTCGTGAGACTGTGTCTCAAAATAAAAAATAAAAAAGACTAGGGATGTGGGTCAGTGGATAAGCACCCCTGGTTTCAATCCCCAGTACCAAAAACAAAGTAAGTAAATAAATAAGTCTTGTTACTATTAGTAAGCTAATAACAGTACTGATTTAAAAAACAAAACAAAACAAAAAATCCAGAATACATTTCAATATCCAGAGACAAATTGTTCTCTAATAAAATGAACCAGAATCCCTATCTTTTCAAAGTTCTAGAAGTGTGGAGAGGGCTCATCCCAATTAAGCCATTTTCACTGGCCAACTGTAACCCTTTGAACAACAACAATTAAAAAAAAATTGTTTTACAGATATGATGGCTAGCTTCTAAGGATCTCCAAATGACCCTCACCTTTTACATATGCATGTGTGCACTCCTCTCCCCTTGAAGAAGCAAATACAGCAAATGTGATGGGATAGCACTGCCAGTATTGGATTATATGGACTATTACCTCCATCCTGTTGCATTCTCTTGCCTTTTTAGCCTTAATGAAGCTAACTGCTTTGCCAGAGAGGCCTAAGTAGCAAGGGACTAAAAGCAGCCTCTGGCTAGGTGCCAGTGAAAACTGAGACTCATTCCAACAACTCACAAGGAAACGAATCCGGCAAATGACCATCTCAATGGGTTTGGAAGCAGAGCTTTCTCTAGCCCTGCAGTGACTTAACAACTTGATCACAGCACTGTAAAAGATACTGGGTCATCATCTTGAATACAGCCCTGTAAAAATAGCCTGAAGTAGACTTGTCTAAGCTGTGCCTCGACTCTTAATTCTATAAAATTGTGCTAATAGATGTGTATTGTCTTAAACTGCTAAATTTAGGAATGATTTGTTATGTAGCAATAACTACCTCATGCAACAGAATTACCTTGTTTTAGAGTCACGAATCCGTAATAGTTACTTCTAAGAAAGGAAAATAATTATCTTGGTGGGGTGGCACACAGGTATAATCCCAGCTACAGGGGACGCTGAACCAAGAAGATTGCCAAGTTTGGGGCCAGCCTGGGCAACTTAGTGAGATCTTGTCTCAAAATAAAAAGGAGCTGGGAATATAGTTCATTGTTGCCTAGTATGTGCAAAGACCTGAGTTCTATCCCCAGCACTTGCAAAAATACAAGAAAATAGACTGCAATGTTCTTTACCCCTCAGATAAAACAGTAATTTTATTTAGGTTGACTTTGTTCAGTGAAGATAAAAATGTTCAAAGTTTGGTTATAGATATATTCTCAGGACTGGAAAAGAAACACACTTAATGGCTAAAAGAGCCCACTATTAATCTATCATTCTCATGAACTAATCATGCAGATTCCTGAGACAGTCTATTTCCCAAGGAGCCACCTATTTGTTTCCATGAAGTTATTATAAGACATTAACAAAAGTATATTTTTAAAAAGTATATTAAAATATTCCACTCCAAAAGTAGCTTTCCCAATAATCCTCACATCAAGACTGCAAGAAGCAGTCTATAAATTCCCAATCTATTTTTAAAAAGGCAAAATCCAGATCTGGAGCTCAGAGCATTTTGCCTTTTAAATACACTGGGAATTTCTAGACTGCTTCCTGTTTAAATTTACATGCCAGATGGTGACTATTCCCTTTATTCTGCTAGTTTTTCCAAAGGACAGAGTTCCAAAATCATGCATAAAATGGTTATTTCCTCATCTTCAGTCTAAGGGTCTAGAGTACCTATGCTGATCAATACTAGCGGGAGTAATGTGTGGTAAAGAAACAGTTCATACACAATCTTTACTTTTTTAGTAGAAAAATAATACTGTGGAGCTGGGGATGCAGCTGTGCTTAAACATGCACAATGCCCTAGGTTTGAGCTCCAGCCCTGTGGAGGTGGGGGATAAAGAGAGGCTACAAGACAAGTGAGGGCTTTCTGAGTAATGTAGTTGATTAAATTGACAATGTTCAAGTTGCCTAATCAGGCAACCTCAATTTTACTTAAGCTTGAAGAAAAAAGACTGCCAAAACGCACTCAAATATACTCATTCTCTATGTTAACACTTCACTGTCCCTTCAAAAGCTGTTGAAACTTGGGCAATAAACAAAAAAATCTCTGGCAGAAGAGTTAGAAACATATTTCAAGCCTGCTATAAATAATTTTCTCATATAACTATAACCATCCTGCATATCTCATGTTATATTTGGCTTGCAAGTGTTTCCAAAGAAATGCTTTAGTGTCTTAATGAGGTAGCCTTCCATATCAAGAAATTACAATAGTAATTTTTTGTTTGGTACCAGGGATTGACCCCTGCGGCATTTAACCAGCCCTTTTCTGCTTTTTATTTTGAATCAAGATCTTAATAAGCTGCTTAGGGCCTTGCTAAGTTGCTGAGGTTGGCTTTTTTAGTTGTGGTGCTGAGGATTGAAGCCCAGTGCCTCACTCGTGCAAAGCGAGCATTCTACCACTGAGCCACAACCCCAGCCCTGCGGCTGGCTTTGAACTTGTGATTCTCCTGCCTTAGCCTCCTGAGCTACTAGGATTACAGGCCTGTGCCACCATACCCAGCACAATAATGACTATATTGTTTTTTAAAGAAGGATGAAAAGATTGAAAAACTAACAAAATGGAACATTTTAATATAGAGGTTAATTATAATCATAGAGTACTTTTCATAATGTATGGCATCAAGTTTTCTATAATTTTTGTTCAATATTTACATTACATAATTTGATAAAAAATTAATGACTATGTATATTTTTGACCATTACCAAAAAAACCACACACACCATAAGATACTAATTTCACAGGCCCCATATTTTGAAATAAAGCAAAGTTAATTTTTTCTAGTTTCTGATCAAGTAAATGAAAAAACCCTAGACAAATGAAGTAAGACTTATAGAGGAAAATCAAAGAAAAGTAATCATAAAATAGGATACCTCACTGGCAGACATATTCTTCACCTGTTCTGGTTTCAGTTCTGTAAAATGTAAAAGTTAGATACTTAAAAAAATAAAAGATTTTTAAAGTTTAAATGGCTTAAGGGCAATGCCAAGTACAATGGTTTAATAATATCTGTTTAATAAATCATTTTATTAAGAGAGACATATTAACATTGAGAGCATATGCAATTTATAAATGCTTAGAAATATTCCCTCTTAGAAGTAAGTAAATAGGAAGGAGGCATTTGATTTCTTGCAAACTGCCTGTGAACAATAGAGTTCATGAATCTGAAAATTAACTTAATTCAACTTGTTTTTCACAAAAAGACATTAGTCTGTTTCCTTAAATCTCAAATTTTTGTCTGCTTTAGAATAACAGCTACAGTGTTCTAAAAAATTTAAATGATTTATACATTAGCTACTATTTCTGAGTCTACTATTTGAACAAGATTTCATACCTCTTATAGTAAGAAAGTTTGTTTACTCAGTTTCAAAATATACATGAGGTTATATATATGTGTATACACACACACAAGGTTATATTTATTATTTTTAAAATAGCCTCTCTTAATCAATATTATTCCAATTCTCTGGGAAAGATGTGCTATAAGTAATTTTTAACAAATACTATAGTTTCCCTTTATGCATGGGGGATGCATTCCATGAGCTCCATAAATGCCTTAAATCTTGGATTATATCAAACTCTATATATGCTTTTTCTTATATATAAATATCTGTGATAAAGTTTCAATTATAAATTAGACACAATAAAAGCTTAACTTTTAATAATAATAATCAAAAAGAACAATTATTATGACAGTATAGTGTAATAAGTTCTATGCATGTGGTCACTCTCTGTCTCAAAAGATCTTATTGTGCTCTGTAGAGTTTTCAAACCACAGGTGATTGTGGGTAACTGAAACCAAAGATAGTGAAACTACAGATATGGGGAACTATTGTAAAGCAAAACATTTTGACTAAAGATAACATCCTTTTCCTTCAGTTTCCTTCAGTTTTACTTTCTTAAAAGAAAAAGACTAGAGATATATCTAGTTCTCTGAAAGTTTCGTGTTCTTTGTGCTGTTTATCATCATAGCCAATGTGAGTGCATAACTGAGTACATCATCCACTCAGTGCCTAGCTAGCTGTGGAAAAGCAGCTGAGAACATCTACTTTCAGGTGTATCACAGTGAGTTTAACCTAAACTATAAAGAAATCAGTTGTGGTATTCAGAAACAACAAATTATTTACTTGAATCAAAACAGAATGATATATTACGTAAAAATTCAGACACATTAATTTCAAATGATATTAGATTACTAAAATGAAAAAAGAAAACAGACAAGAACGTTTTCCCCTTTATTATTACTTTTTACTTGCTTAAAAAAGTTTTCTTGGGCTGGGGGTGTAGCTCAGAGGCAGGACATTTGCCTAGCATGCACAAGGCCCAGGATATCCTCTGCATGGCAAAATAAAGAGTTTTCTTTTCCATTGAATTCCTCACTCCCTACAAATTATCAAGAAGTAAAACTTCTTGTCTAAAACAGGGGTAATAGTCTACTGACTCATGGACTATTTTCATATATTAGCTGTGAGCTAAGAAGGGTTTTACATTTTTAAAAGGTTGTTGTAAGAGAAAAGACAATTATGATGACTATGCAACAGAGACCAGATGTGGTCCACAAAACCTGAAATATTTACTATAAAGTCTTTTCTGAAAAACTCTGTTGATCTCTAGTCTAAAAACTAACTGGTATGAAGTTTTACACTGAGACAGCTTTATTGCTTTCACACTGATAATAAAAAGGATCTCTGGGTAGAGATTTTTTAAATCTCTAAAATGGAATAGTAAATAGTTCAAATGTTTCAAGCTCCTGTACACATACCTCGGATAGGACCCAGTGCTGCATCTTTTGCCAGAGCTGTTAGATCACTTCCTGAGTATCCATCAGTCATTCTGAAAAAAATGGAAGGAAAAAAGAGTAAACCATTTTCATTTCTGCAGATTAAAAATCTTTATGTAATAAGAGGATATAAATGATTCTGCCTTTTTCAGCAAGCTGACAGGTGATTTGATTTTAAGGGAAGAAAAAGGCCCATCTGATAAATAAAAAACAATTTACCACTGGTTCCTTATAATACTTCTAATACACAACATTAAAACCATTCCTTTAGATTAAGGCATACGCTCCAGGAGGCCCAGTGGAAAACTTCATACACATCACCTGGAAAGGTAAAAACCACTGGTGGCCAAATGACACATAACCACAATTATTTTTCTGTAAGTTAATTAGTCTTATTTATCTCCATGTGTATCATGTGTATCAAGCTTTTTACCATTGTCTTTTTCTTTTCCTACATTTAATGAAACCTACATTTCCTACATTTCATTAAATGTAGAAAAAGACAATGGCAGAATGAGGCACATCTGAAAAGGATGCCACAATACAGTAAGGGTGCTGGGCAACCAAGAGATTGTTAAAGAGAATTAAAACTAGGGAATTAAGAAACAAAGGCGAAGAGGAAAATAAAATAGGAGAAAAGTATTTACTCATCAGGTACTATGTTAAAACAACTAACAGATGTAACATTATTAGTAGAATTCTTCATTGAAATGACAAAGGAGGATCTCTATATTCTCAAGTATTTAATTTATTCTCTTCTCATAGATATCTGGGAACTCAGAGCTCTTACAAAAATTACTCACTATTCACGTATTTGTTAAAATTTTAAAATTACTTCATGATATTTTTCAGGGACTAAAGTTAATGAGTGAATTTCCTATCTCCAGTTTCTACTTAAGTCCACTGTAAAACAAACAAAAAGGTTAAGATATAACTTAATGTAATCAGGCTCTTGTGAGCCCTCTCCTCAACTGGGCCCAACCTCAGACTTGCTATACAAATCCACCTGAGCAAGAAACTTGCTAAGTGAATTCTGAAAATATATGTCACCCTTGGTATCTGACTACCGTTGATACTTAATCATCCTGGCCTGCCTTCAGCAAGAATCCCTTTTACTCATGATGTTTCCTGTTAGTAATTTTCCATCTACTGACCTCCATACCTTGCTTCTTGGCCTTTGTTGGTCACAGTAAATTATAGAAAATAGTTCTTTAGGCATGAGGCTGTAGCTCAGTGGCAGGACACTTGCCTAGCATGTGTGAGGCACTGGGTTCAATCCTTAGCTCCACATAAAAAATAAACAAATAAAATAAAGGCGTTCTATCCATCTACAACTACAAAAAAAAAATTGGAAAAAAACTTTTAAAAATAGTTCTTTAGCACTAGCATTATTCAGACTTAATCAGCAAAGGAATTTTTATACATGGACGGATGTTCAGGCAGTTATATAATTTTTAAAAACTATTTTTTCCTTTATCTTTTTGGTGCTGGGGATTGAACCCAGGGTCTTGTGCATGTGAGACAAGCACTATACCAACTGAGCTATACCCCAGCCCTAAAAACTTTTTTAAAAACTTTATTTTGGGGGCTGGGGATGTGGCTCAAGTGGTAACGGTCTCACCTGGCATGCACGGGGCGCTGGGTTCAATCCTCAGCACCACATTAAAAAAAATAAAAATAAAAATGTTGTGTCCGCCAAAAACTGAAAAATAAATATTAAAAAAAAATTCTCTCTCCTCTCTCTTAAAAACAAAACAACAACAACAAAAAACCTTTATTTTACTTGTCTACTTTTTTATGTGGTGCTTAGGGTCAAACCCAGGGTGTCACAAATGTTAGGCAAGCACTTTGCTACTGAGCTACAACCCAAGCCCCAGTAACATAATTTGATTCAATTTTTATGATATTAACCTGAGTTTAACATTTAACTTTTTTTTTTTAATCTTATTTTTTTTGGTGGGGTTCTTTTTTTTTTTTTTTTTTTTTTTTGTCTTTTTTGGAACTGGGGGTCGAACCCAGGGCTTTGCGAATGCAAGGCAGACGCTTTGCCACTGAGCTACATCCCAGCCCGTAACATTTAACTTTAACATTTGAACTCTAAAAACATTCCCATTAAAGGAGATTATATTTAAAAAGTTGAGCTGGAAGCATATTCCTTTAATATGATTAGTAAATTATCTAAATGTTAATAATGTTAATCCCTTTCTAAATAAAAAAGTCTTCCTTACCATCTTAAAAAATTTTTTTAAGATGTATAAGTTTTAAAAACTATTCTACATAATTCAAAAGAACAGTTTATAGTTTATGTTGGTTTGAGTAGTTACAAAATGTTTGAAATTTTTAAATTACTTTAGTACCATTCGTAAGTTTTATTTATAAAAAAATAAATAACACCATCATTACATATTTAGGCCAAGTCCAGTAAAACATAGACACAAGGGCTGGGGCTACAGCTCAGTGGTTGAGTACTTGCCTAGCATGTGTGAGGCGCTGCAATCAATCCGCAACACCACATGAAAACAAATAAAGAAAAGAAAAGAAAAGAAAGAAAGAAAAAGATGTTGAGTCCATCTACAACTAATATTAATATATATATATGTATGTGTATATATATATATATATATATATTAATTACACACACACACATACACATATATGAAATTTAGATACCACATATAGAGGAAGAAAAGCTAAGATAGTAAGGAGATACAGGATGAGAAGTTTTTCTGATAAATGAATTACTTGTTTTATATTTTAGCTTATATAAAGAAAGAGAATTTCTCTTTTTTTAACTTTTTTTAAATTTTATTTTTGAGTTGTAGTTGGACACAATATCTTTATTTTATTTTTATGTGGTGCTAAGGATCGAACCCAGGGCCTCGCACTTGCTAGGCAAGTGCTCTGCCACTGAGCCACAACCCACCCCCTAGAATTTCTTTTTTTTTTTTTCCTCTTTTGGTACTGGGGATTGAACCCAGAGGTGCTTTACCACTGAGCCACATCCTTAGCCCTTTTTTATGTTTTATTTATAGACAGGATCTTGCTAAGTTGCTGAGGGTCTCACTAAGTTGCTGAGGCTGGCTTTGAACTCATGAGCCTTTTGCCTCAGCCTCCCAAGCTGCTGGGATCACAGGCATGCACCACTGTGGCCTGCCAGAAAGAGAATTCTTAACCTCAAAAATTAAAAAAAAAATAGGCGTTGGAGTTGTAGCTCAGTGGTAGAGCATTTGCCTAGTGTATATGAGGCACTTAAAACATCACATAAAAATAAATAAAATAAAGGTTAAAAAAATTAAAATAACAATGAAAACAGTAAACTTTACTTAAAAAAAATTAAATAAGATAAACCAAATCAAATTACTCACCTAGCAAGTTGTGCTAGTTCTTTTTGCGTCAGTGGGCTTCCTTGTTTACATAACAGATTCTTAAGTAAAAGTAGTCTGGTCTGAAATGAAATTATAAAGAATGATCACTACGGTCAAAATTAATAATTCTTACTCAATAAGCTAAGAATTAACAATATAATGTCCAGGAATCAGATTCAAATCCTGTCACATTGAAACCTTATTTTTATCAGTTAAACATAGTTAAAATTAAGTTTTTTTGTTTTATTTATTTTTTTGGTACCAGGGATTGAATTCAGGGGCACTCAAGAACTGAGCCACATCCTCACAGCCCCATTTTGTATTTCATTTAGTGACAGGGTCTCACTGAGTTGCTMGGCCTTGTCCTGGCAGAGGCTGGCTTTGAACTTGTGATCTTCCTGTGTGCCAAGGCACCTGGCTGGAATTTAAAACTATTTTTAAAGGAGCAAAAAGAAAGACCAGTAGAACAGAGGAAGAATCTGAAGATGGAAGGAAACGGGGGCAGGAATGGGGACAGAAATAAAATTCCTTGCATTATGATTTTGTCAAAATGAATATAACTACTACATATAAATCACAGTGCTCTAATAAACAAAATACAATGTGATTTTTTTTTTTTTTTTTTTTTTGGTACCAGGGATTGAACTCAGAGGCATTTAACCACTGAGTTGCTTACAGCCTTGCTTTTGCTGAGGCTGTCTTTGAACTCAAGATCCTCCTGCCTCAGCCTCCTAAAATGCTAGGATTACAGGTGTGAGCCACTGCACTGGTCACATTGTTTGTTTTTAATTTTTTTTAGCTGTAGATGGACACAATATCTTTATTTTTATTTATTTATTTTTATGTGGTGCTGAGGATTGAACCCAGTGCCTCATGGATGCAAGGCAAGTGCTCTACCACTGAGCTACAACCCCAGWCCCCACAATGTGTTATTTAAAGAAAAGGTACCTATCTTTTGAGACAATTCAAATAAAGCTCTAAGAATGACAAGTATCTGAGCTATACAACCGTAATTTATTTATTTATTTATTTGAGAGAGAGAGAGAGAATTTTAATATTTATTTTTTAGTTTTCAGCGGACGCAACATCTTTGTATGTGGTGCTGAGGATGGAACCCAGGCCACACGCATGCCAGGCGAGCGCGCTACCGCTTCAGCCACATCCCCAGCCCTACAACCATAATTTTAAAAAAGAATTTTTTTTTTAGTTGTAGATGGACACAACACCTTTATTTTGTTTATTTACTTTYAGGTGGTGCTGAGGATCAAACCCATTGCAACACACATGCTAGGCAAGCATTCTACTGCTGAGCTACAAACCCAGCCCCGTGGCCATAATTTTTTAAAAACGGTTTTATGTAAGTATGAATTTATATACCATAAAGTTTAATATAATCAATGACATAAGAAATTTACAGGGTTGTGCAATCATCACAATAACACAGTCCAGAACATTTCTATTACTCCAAAAAGTTCACTCTTGGCTGTTTGTAATTAATCCCCATTCCTATCTATCCCTTGTCCTAGTAAATCACTGATTTGCTTTTATGTTTCTAGAAATTTTACTTTTCTGGATGTGTCATATAAATGGTATCATATACTATGAAATTGTTCACACGTGGTTTCTTTCATTTAACATAATGTTTTTGAGTTTCATTCACATTACTGTATGTAGCATATATGGCTAATTCCCTTTATTGTTAGTGTGTATACACTACATTTGCTTATCCATTTAACAACTGATGAGCAGTTTTTGACTATTATTAACATGGCAAAGCTGCTATAATAATTCCTGTTCACATTTCTTTGTGTGAATGTTTCCACTTCTCTTGGGTATTTTTTTTGGGGGGAGGGGGCAGTACTGGAGATCAAACCCAGGCATACTAGGTAAGTGGTAGAGTTCTTGCCTAGCACGCACAAGGTGCTGGGTTCGATCCTCAACACCACAATAAAATTGTGGTGTCCAACTACAACTAAAAATAAATAAACAAACAAAAAATAAAGAAAAAGGTAGGTAGGTAGATGGAAGGAAGGAAGGAAGGAAGGAAGGAAGGAAGGAAGGAAGGAAGGAAGGAAGGAAGGAAGGAAGGAAGGACGGACGGACAAAGGAACAGGAAAAGTAATGGGAAAGGAAACTGAATTAACTACCAAACTGTTAGAAAGTAGCTATACCATGGACTGGAAAACTCAATATTATCAAGATGGTAGTTTTTGTTTATACTAATAAAAAGAAGTTCGGATACATACCTCTTCATTTGGTAAAGACACATATACCCGTTTGATGAAACGCCTAAAAAAAACAAACAAAAAAAAAAATTCAAGTATTTTGAATTTAAAGGTAACTCAGTTCAGGAAAAAAATGACAGGAAAAGGCTTTAATAGTGAAAGTAACTGAACACATAATAGTAGTTATCAACATAAAAAAAATATTTTTAGTTATTTTTTTAAAAACCACACCACTCTGGTTAGCCAGGCTCAATGGCACATGCCTTATAATCCCAGCAACCTGGGAGGCTGAAAGATGAGAATTGGCCTTGGCAACTCAGAAAGACTGCCTCTGGGTTCAATCCCTAAAAAAATTCTCTGGTTAATGTTTAAAAATCCTTAATCAATAAATGGCTAAGGGGCTGGAGCGGTGGCTCAGTGGTAGAGCACTCGCCTAGTATGTGCGAAGCGCTGGGTTCGATCCCCAGCACCACATAAAAATAAACAAATAAAAGTATTGTGTCCAACTACAACTAAAAAAAATTTTAAAAAATAAATGGCTAAGTCAGCCATTCATTTAGATGTATGTTTTTAATAGTAATAATGCACAATAATAACATACAATAGCTGGGAGTGGTGGCACATGCCTGTAATCCCAGTGGCAAGGAAGCTGAGGCAGGAGGATTTCAAGTTCACAACAGTGAGGTACTTAGCAACTCAGTGAGACCCTGTTTCTAAATAAAATACAAAATGCAACTGGGGATGTGGCTCAGTGGTCGAGTGCCCCCGAGTTCAAGCCCAGGTACCAAAACAAACACACACACACACAAAAAAAAAAGATTATAGGAAGAAGAATGGAAACTTCATCATCATCATTCTAGGTTAACAGTTACGGAATTAAAAGATATGAAGTGCTACTGTAGAGGTAAAAATTACACTAACAAAGGAAGATACAGAGGATCTACTATTGCAGATAATGGACATAACTGTCCAAATATCAAGTTTCTTTTCTTTATTTTTTAATATTTATTTTTTTTAGGTGTAGATGGACACAACACACTGCCTTTATTTTTTTTTATGTGGTGCTGAGGGTCAAACCCAGGTCCCGCCTGTGCTAGGCAAGCCCTCTACTGCTGAGCCACAATCCCAGCCCCAAACATCAAGTTTTCAATGAAATCAGAGACATCATACCGTGAAGGGAATAAAACTACTCCCTATTATTTAAGTAAGCATGTTCGGCCTACCTCTGCAGACCATGAGAACTGATAACACAAGAATGTAAGGAAAGACTGCACAAAGAAATTGAAAGACACATTACCTTTGTAAGAAGGCACTAACCACTTTGGCTGGATGACAAGCTGTTTTGCTGTCATCAATATTATTCAGTGGAAGAATAATAAATCAACTCTATCTCTTATTTATACACACATACCCTTCATCAGCAGGTAGGGCTTCACTATGACTGCCTGTTAGCTCAGAGTATACATGGGACAGCTCAAGATAACTCTTACTTCTCTAGCCCTCACCCAACAATATCCTTAGAAAAGTAGGTTTTCTAAGAAAACTCCTCTTATCCAAAGAAAAATAATAAGCAAAATGGAAAAGTCACAGGGTTCACTTAAAAAAGAAGAGGAGAAATCCTACAATAAACAAAGTAGATAAAATGAAGAACATGCATAAGATTCTGTCACACAGCAAATTAAAATTATGACCAAATATCTTTTCATAGAATGAAATAATTTAATGAAAAAAAGTTGTTTTTTTTTTTTTTTTTAAACAAGAGTTTAAGGAAATGGATACAAAGGCTCAAAGAAATAAGAAAAAACAAGATGCAAAATAGGGTGGATCAGGAATGCAAAGAAAAAAGAAATCACCACAGAATAGGTTATAACAAGTYATAAAAGTAGTAACAGGAAAGAGAATAAATACTAACTCAGTAAGAAATAAAGGCAACAGACTTGGGAAAACAGAACAAAACAAAAAAGTTTAAAAGGAACAAAAAAAAAATTACAGATACAGGGACAAAGAGATGCAACATAATACATAATTTACATGCAAAAACAGAAAAAAAAACACCCAGAAAAAATTATTAGGAAAAAAAAGTTAAATATAGTATTTAAAATAAATTTCAAAAAAAGGGAAGTTCCAAACTATGAATTTAAAGAAACAATGAATCCCACAAATAATTAACAAAGTCCAATTAAACTTAAATGGTTGAAAATTCTATCTAGTAAAAAGAAAAAAAAATCAAGTTAATCTATAAGTGTGAAAGAAATGAATCTATGTAGACTTTTACACTGTGACATCCAATCCTACAAACAATGGAGCAATGTTATAAATTATTTGGAAAACAAAAAGCAGGTCAAAGAATTTCATGCTGAGTAAAATTGTCTTTCCAGTAGGAGGGGAATAAATTTGTTCAAACATACTAGACAGTTCTCATGAATCCTGCTATAATCATGAAGCCCAGCAAGAATCAGTTTTGGAATTTAAAGATAATTTAATGACATCCAAAAGAATTAAGCAATTTGCCTAAAACCATAAAGTGAAGACTAGTTCTCCTCATATTATCCCATACATGACCACAAACTCCTTATTTAATTGATAACAAGAGGCCAGGAGGTAGCATAGGAAGGAAAATAATTTAGTCTTAAAACCAAGAGTAATGAAATAAGAAATATGAGATAAACACATGAGTAAATATAGAAAATAAACACATGTTTTTCCACATCAATCTCTCTACCTGAGAACAGCCTCATCAAGTTCTTGTGGCCTGTTAGTGGCACCCATTACAAGTACTCTGTCATCTCCAGCAGACTGTACCTACAAACCACAAAAAAAGTTTTTCAGTACTTTTAAATAAAGTAATGAAAAAGAAAAATACATACATATTTCTAATTGGGATAATTTAATAGGAATACACACAMAAAAAAAACTCTGCCACATTAAAAATATCATAGCTGCCTGGCACAATGGCACATGCCTGTAATCCCAGTGGATTGGCAGACTAAGGCAGGAGGATTGCAAGCTCAAAGCCAGTCTCGCTAAGCAATTCAGTGAGACCCTGTCTCTAAATAAAATACAAAACAGGGCTCAGTGGTAGAGTACCCCCGAGTTCAGTCCCCAGTATCAAAAAAAAAAAAAAAAAARAAAAGAAAAGAAAAAAAATCATAGCCATGTGTGGTGTCCTATAATCCCAGCAGCTCGGGAGGCCAAGGCTCTTAGCAATTTAGCAAGACCCTGTCTCCAAATAAAAAATAAAAGGACTGTGGATGTGGGTCAGTGGTTAAGCACCCCTGGGTTCAAACTCTGTTACCAACAACAATCATATATACTTACACCATCAAATTCTATTAGAAATTCAGTTTTTAGACGTCTACTAGCATCATGCTCCCCTTCTCTTCTTTCACATAAAAGGCTATCAACTTCATCTAGGGGAAACACAAGGAAAATACTTTAATAAAAGGCCAATATATGTGATCATTTACAAATCTAGTTCATACTTAAGTTATTAACATACCCCTTCTATTGAATTCAATACGTAGTCTTCAACGTCACCACTCTTTAAAACTTTTTCCTTCTGAATAATCTTTTCTATCATACCTCTCATATTTGGAAAGGGGAATATCACAAGTATTCAAATAATTTAGTTGGAAAAACATTCTCACCTATGAAAATTATAGAAGGCTGAAGTTCTCGAGCCACCGCAAAAAGAGCTCTCACCAATTTCTCACCTTCCCCCACCTAAAACAAAGCATATGTATTGTTAAACAAATAAAATGCAACATTATTCCAGTTCTTTAAATTTCATTATCGACAATCTAGAACTCAGTACTTTAATTTCTCTTCCTCACAACTAAAGATATGGTACAAGGAACTGGGAGTACTAGTGTGTGTAACTGAACTGTACCTTATAATTTTAGAAGAGACTATTTACCTAATTGCTAAGCTCTCCTTCCTACTTAAATACCTTCCTTCCTTATTTATTTATTTCTGTATTGTAATGGAATCCAGGCGTGATTTACCACTGAATTACACCCCCAGCCCTTTTTATTTTTTACTTTGAGATAAAATCTCACTGAGTTGCCTAGGTTAGCTTCACACTTGTGAGTCTCCGCTTTAGCCTCAAGCATTCTACTTCTTGATCAGCATAGTGATTCTGAAAGTGTTCACTTTGTGACAATTCACTGAGCTGTATATTTATGGTATAAAAACACTTTCCTACATGTATTCAATAAACAAGGTTAAATAAAAATTTAACATATTAAGATACATATGTAACTGGTTTTTGTAGAAAAACATCTAGTTTAATAACATAAATGCCCACAATTATGAGGAAGTTTCTGCAAAAAGTTTTATCATAAGAAACAGAAGGTGCACAAGAAATGACTCTAAGTCTTGAAATCTGAGATCCTGTCTGGGGTAAAATATTCAGCTTTTCTTATACCCTAAGCATACTGACAAACTGATATGAGACCATAAGAAGATAACTAAGATAAGAGAGGGAAAAAAGCAGATGTAACACTAAATTCCTTTATGTATAAAAGGCTGTTTCACAAAAGAAAAGATTTTTGTTACATCCACTTTATAATTTTAGCGGGGGTGGGGGGGTGGGTGTGTGGGTGGTACTGGGGATTGAACCCAGAGCCACTTAACCACAAAGCCACATCCTCAGCCCTTTTTAATTGTATTTTTAATTTAATTTTTTTTGTAGTTGTAGATGAATAGCATGCCTTTATTTATTTATTTTTTTATGTGGTGCTGAGGATTGAACCCAGTGCCTTACATGTGCAAGGCAAGTGCTCTGCCACTGAGCTACAGCCCCAGCCCATTTATTGTATTTTATTTAGAGACAGGGTCTCCCTGAGTTGCTTAGGATCTCACTAAGTTGCTGAGGCTGGCTTTGAACTCATGATCTTCCTGCCTCAGCCTCCTGAGCCACTGGGATTATAGGTGTGTGTCACTGCTTTAATCCACTTTACAAAAATTAGAAAATACATATTTCAGTTGGACATAAGAAAAAAATGTATTGGGTATAACTGGCCAAATTATGGTCTAGACATTTCAACCTTCCTAAAAACAACCTTGCCATGGGATAATTATCAGATTAGGGGATAAGATCATGGACTTTACATTGTTTCACAAATCATGAAGATGAAAGAAAACAGACTTGAAACAAATATGAATAATCAAATGGCAACATCCCAGAGATATGAGAGAGAGTGAGAGAGAATTTTTTAATATTTATTTTTTAATTTTCGGTGGACAGTCTACGGCCATACCACCCTGAACGCGCCCGATCTCGTCTAATTTTCGGTGGACTCAACATCTTATTTTTATGTGGTGCTAAGGACCAAACCAGCGCCCCACGCATGCCAGGCAAGTGCGATACCGCTTGAGCCACATCCCCAGCCCCCAGAATGCTATAGGTAATGTTTTTTCATCAAAGATTTATATTTAAGTAAGTTTGTCAAAATACTTTTCAACCACAAACATTTTGATGAGGATCAGAGACTAATATGTCACTGGGTACCAAACAGAAAAGGAAGGGAAGGGGAGAGAAAGACAAAGCAGTATAGGCTTTGATACACTATCTACTTCACAGTTTTGCAATACACTGGTTCTATACACCAGAAAAATTATTCTTGCTATGCCCTGTAGTTATGACTGCACTCCCCAAAAATGAACGAGCTCTTCTTTGAACATCACTATAGGATCAGTGGACAGTAAATGGATGAAGTATATCTAAAAAGAGCAACAACAAAAAGATTTTTTAAAAAAGTGAAATGAAAAAGAAATCTAGGGGGCTGGGGATGTGGCTCAAGTGGTAGCGCGCTCGCCTGGCGTGCATGCGGCCCGGGTTCGATCCTCAGCACCACATACAAACAAAGATGTTGTGTCCGCCGATAAATTAAAAAATAAATAAATA